ACTTTAACCTTTTGTAAGCTCAACGATAAGTTATTTGTTGGAGCAGCACTGTGTCAGCCCCTAGCTGATTCAAAAATGACAACTAAGGAGCAAGCAGACTATGCTTCATGTAAAATCCAATTGTAGTGCCATCATTATAAGGAAGACTTGAGAGCTCTGCTGTCTTTTCAGTAGCTGTCACTGCCTCTGTCAAGGGCTTCATCTGAATTCAGAACATATAACTTTATTTCCTTATAATGTCTAATGATGATTCATGGTTTTTGCTTTCCACTGTCTTCAATTCCAACAATGCCTGTTTTCATACCTGCTGTCTTAAATCCCTCTATTCTCTGTTCAGGAAAACCTCTAAAGCAAGCACACTCAGCCTTCCAAAGGGAATTCAATAGCTCCTGAGTATTCTTCCTTTTTTTAATACTGCCCCATGCTGTTTCAGCTATTCTGCCATCTTTGAGATTATAATTACTATTGTCACCGCTGGAGCTAGACATCTACTTGGGGAGTGCTCCAGAGAGAAGTGAGCTGCACCTCCTCCCTCCCCTGAGTCCAGAAGGACAAATCCTTCTCATCTCTGCTGGTCCCAAAGGCAGGAGGCTTCTGGCTGTTCTTTAACCCTGACCTCTTGCTTTGCAGTAGATAAAGCTGAAGTCAAGTCACTGAGCTGACAGTTTATAAAATGTATTACCTTCTATTACCAAATTCCTGAAGCAACTTTTTGAATTTTAGCACTGATGTTAGTTTTTTGTTGTAACTTTTTTTTTTTAACTGTAGCTCCTGATGGTTATTTCAAGTGACTTAACACATTTATTTTTATAAAGGCAACTGGTACTATCTGCTTTATCTGTCTCTCTCTTCCAGAGAACTGAGTTAGTGCTTACTTTTAACTGTGTTGGCTTTTGCTTAAATTATTTAAGACCCTCTCCTCTTTTTAATTTTTGAAACTACTGGGATGGCACATCTAATATAGTGTCTTCACGTTTCTGAAAATAAATGGCCTTGATTTTATTTCAAGGTGTTGCTGCTTTCCTCTGATAGGGAATACCCAAACTGATGCTGCCTTGTTTGGAGGAAATGGCAAAAATGCCTACAGAAGGGTGCTCAGAAGAAGGAGAGCTATGTAAATGACACATCAGCTGTTGTACTCAGAGACTGGCTTTGCCTCATGCATACAAGGTGCACACCAATGGGTACAAAGGGAAAAAAGGAGGGTGTGCTTTGGGGGAAAACCAGTATTTTTCACTGAATGATTTTTGTTCCACTGATTTGTAGGGATGAATTGATTATACATTCCTTCACAAGCTAGGTCTTTGCAGGAATATCCTGTGCTGGCACCATGCGATGACAGAACTACTGCAGACTTGAAAGGACCTTCAGCCCTTTTTATTGCGTGGTTAACAAGAACAGACAAGTTTCCTTCCCATTCCCAAGAAATAGGCTACTACTTCAAAACCTTTCTCTGCAACTACACGGGAGCAGGGCGGATCTTCTTTGGTCTAGACCCGATGAACTAGTGTAGCTCACTGAGGAGCAAGAATGAGCACTACAGGAGTTTAACAGTCTCACCAGGCTGCAGCATATCCATTTATTTTTAGACTTCCGTGGCACAGCTGGAGCTGACAACTCCAGGAGTAGTAGTTCTGTCCAGGAAAAGTAGTGAGAGTTGTGTTCACAACCCATGCTCTGAAAGTCATTAATAATAAAAAAATAGAGCACTGTAGGAAAAAAAAATATAAGGGATTCTTTCAAGATGGCTTGTGTACTGCCAGACTGGATGCAGAGTAAAATGTGTGAGAAAGTTTCACTAACAAGGTATAAAATGTTCAGAATGTCATGTGAGTAATATCCAACCCGCTATTTCCAAGGGGGGCTTAAGTAAGAGAAAAACAAAATGCAGATGTGCCTTTCCAATTTCTTTTTGCTGTATTAAGAGTCCCTGTGGTATTTTAAAGTGCGTTTTCTGCATATTTTTGCATTAAAAATATTAGGTTATCACATCCTTGTGTATGCTTAAAGATGAACAATTTAGGAGACTTCACAGGAGACTGAAATTTTTGTACTCTTAATAAATCATCTGGGAGGGAAAAAGAACTCTTTCTGTGTGAAAGAAAAAAGATCTTTATACTTTCATAAAAGGGAGAGGCGGTTCTGAGTCTTCTTACCTAGGAGATCCTAAATAAAACTGAGACTGCTATATCTCAAAGTTAAAAGGATCATTCAAACCACTTCATCTTAATTGGGAAAACTACAGCTTTTTGCTGCATCTCCCCAATCAGACATAATATTCCTTTCCCTGATTTTATCTTTTTTAGCATTTTTCCTTTTTTACCTTACTCCCTTATACCACTATCAAGTATTGTACAAACGCACTATAGAACAGAATTTAAAAATGGCCATAAACATCACTTACATGTCAATAAACAATAACAGAGATTCTAATTAAAATCACAGGTAATTCTCCTTATCACAACTCTAATCCTGCTATGTAAAATCTGCTTCATTAATGTTGGAAAGTTAAAAGGCTTTTCTATAGGTTTTGCCTTCTGGACGCAGTTCTCCCATACACAGTAGTTAAGAGGTGACCAATGTGTAATGTATTAAAAAAAAGGTCAGAATTTTAGTTTTCAAGGGACATGTGAAATAAAAGAGATGTGTGAAATTGGAGAATGAGGCTATTGCTATTGATTTCATAATTTTTGACTTGTTACAGATATACTCCTAATTTGCTGAGGCATACAAAACACTGAAATATCATTCATTGCATATGTGAAATTGATATTTTTTTCTTTCTATTCTCTGATAAGAAGATATAAGATGAAAAATTTAAGTTAGTTTTTTAAAATTTAATTATAAAGGAACATACCAATACCAAAGACATCTTAGAAATTAATGTAATATTTTCCTAAATTATATTTTTCAGATAATTTCAACACAAATAACTAAAATCCCCCTTTTTCTCTTCCTAAAATATTTAAAACTTTACAAACTACATAGTTTTACCATAATATAATTACATTATAAAAGAAGTGGATTTCTGAAGTGCCCAAAACCTGTCTAATTTGTGGTTTGGTGTTTCTCCTCTTGTTTTGAAACCAAGAGAGGAGGATTATGGGTGCATAAAAGAAAAGTGGAAGTATATGGAAGAAGATTTCATTGTTGTGAACTAATCTCAAAAATTATATTTTTCAGATACACTAATTATGCATGAAGTTCTTGCTAAAAGGTTAAGAATATGTTAGTATTCCTGATGTTTCACGTTTGTAATGAGCTGCAGCTGTTTTCCCACTGTAGCTTGTGTATTCTGTACTCCTGTACAATGAAAATAAGAGAAACATAATGGATTTTAATGCGTATGTCTCTAATTGTTTTTCTTTTATAGAGATTTTACAAGCTCATTGCTGTTACTGTGGTGTTTTACCACTTCTCAAGATTTTTTTAAAAAAGTATACTACAGCATTTGCTATCAATGTAGGTTCTTCTCCCAGTTTGCCAGGAAAGAATATGGTATATATTAGTCTTCATGTGTCTGTTTTCCACAAACACTAAATTTATGTATTTAAAACCAACGTTTAAAAAAAAAAAAAACAAACAAAAAACAAAAAAAGTGGGGTTTGCCTCTGAACCTTACATCTGTAGGTTATGTGATTTTTCTTGGCTTTTCTAGAAATTACTTCCAAAGGCAATAATATCTTGCTGAGTAAGCACAGCAGTCACCCTTGAGGTAAATTAGCTTCTACATCCACAGGAAGCAAGCAAGAAAAAATAAGATTCTCAGGAAAACCAGTGAGACAATCAAAAGAAAACTACTTTCATGGTGAGCTTAAACAAAGCCTAACAAGTCAAGTTTCAGCATGAGTACAAAGTAATGAAACCAATAGTCTGGTAGCACTATTATGTTTTAATCAAGGTGTGCATGGAAGCAGGAATTTCAGCCCAACAGCAGCCATCAAGGTTTTTAGATTCATAGAAGAGAAAAAGTTGATTAGCAGAGAAAGAGGGAGTAGGAAAGAAGAGACAGAGCAAGAGAGAGAGATCCCTGCTGTTAGCAGGTTACTGACTTCTTCCAGATCATCCATGTGATGTGTGATGCTTCATGCTGCTTTAAACCAGCAAATGTTATTGTTGTTGTAAAATGAGTGGCTTCTTGGAGTTGAATCTTTTTATGTTCAATCTAAACTTGCTGATCTTGTATCTTCCTTGGACAAACCATGGTGCTTGCAAACATTTTGAAGCCAAGAGAGAGAACAGAGCTGAATTTGTTTCAACAGAGGCAAATTGGAGGACTTTGAGTAACATGACCATTGAAGGACCAAGAGCAATAAGTAAATGGAGTCAGGGAGAGGATTTTTAGTTTTCTTTAGACTTCTGTCTTCCATATACTAGCTAAAGTGCAAACTGATCTATCTTATATGGAAAATTGATTCTATATTTTACAGAGAATATAGAACTAAGTCTGCGAAAAGAGTTTTTTTCAGCTTTTCAGTATGCTTAGTTAATCTTCTTTACAGCTAGCAGTAGTAGAGAAAGACACGGTGGTGCTGGTTTTTGGAACCCAGATAAAGAAAAAAGTGCACTATCTCTTTCCAATAATTTAATTACCATTTCAAAGCTGTTATTTTGCATATGCCTGAACTTCTAAAATAGGCATAAATATGATTTGTTGAAACCAGTGATGTGTACATTTCTCAATAGGTTACTTGACTGGAAAAGATGTCTCTGAAAAGATGACTCTACTTTTTCCCCTACAAAAACCCTCATCAGTCAGATCAATTTCTCTTTATTTCTATCTGGTACATAGTGCAGTTGTTGACCAAAATTAATCAAAAGTATAATTTTGGAGCATAAGTCCATTAACATATGTAGAAGTAAAGAACCCAGACTGTAGATTGAACTTACTGATGTATAAAAAAATTCCCATGATCTCTTCAGCTTTTGAGATTGTACCAATACCATAGGTATTTTGATGACAAACACATTGTTGAGATTTCTTTTTTTTTTCTTCCTAGGCAAGCATATTGTCAGTCAGAGCTTCCATGTCAGCCTCCTTGGGAAGGAAGGAGCAGCAACAGATACACTGAAAAGACCCTTCTTTTCTGGTAAGAAAACTTTAGTTCTACTACCATTCCCTGCCATAAATTTTCTCTCTGTCTCTGAAACTAGAGAGAATGCTCAAGACCAACAGCAATCTTCAAAATGTGACGGCTGGAGAAACATATCAACTGCTGGCTCTTCAGAACCAGCACAGCTGGAATAAAAAAGGTATGCAGTAGTGTTTGTGAGACAGCTAGTAATAGTGAAATAAATAACTGAATAAATAAACATTAAAATAAAAAAGCCCTTAGTAGAAGAGAAATATAAATAGAGCATGAAAACTGTCATTACAACACACCAGATATATCTGACAAAATATTAACTTGTGTTAACAATCTCTCCTGGAGACCGGATTCTAGGAATAGATGGATCACCATCTCATCTAGTATAACACTTCCTCTGTTCCTTTTTAAAATGCTATTTTTAAAACTAAGATAAACTGTATTAAAATACAGGAAGTAGACCATGGAGAAACAGTCTGTTACAAGAGATTCATAAATTTCCTTTTTTTTTTTTTTTTTTTTTTTGAATATGTCTTTTCCTGTTCAAGAAGAGTCCTTTTGGTGACTGAAACACATTTAATCCCTTCTAAGTTGAATCTTGACTCTGCTCTAGTGAACTTTAAAAATTGTAATTTATTATAATTTGTTGATGACATCAGGATATTTTCCATAGAGAAGGAATAATTTTGTCAAATAAATTAAATAAGAAATGTGTTTTCCCTCAAGGTGTAGGCTTATACCTGCACTTCTGCTTGCTTCAGATAGTCTGTGTTTTCTATTTCAGTCAAAAGTACTTTTACCACCACCATGGCTGCACAAGTCTTTGGGCAGGCCTAGCAATCAAATTTCTTTTAGCTCCTCTACAAGTAATGTCAGAAGAAAAATACTGGGCACTGAAGGTGCTATTACTTTTTTGCATTTTGTCTATGTGGAAACACTTGTAATTGAATCATAGGTGACATTGGCTATTGTACATCATGATTTAGGATTCAGGTTATTGGTCAAATTACGATTCTTTGAAAGGGGAGCTCTGTAATGAAGTCACAATTAAAATCCAGCTTCTTTTATAAGTCAGTGGGAATTACATACCCAAATGTCTTCTGTGCCTTTGAAAATCTCTGCATAAGTTTATAAATTTGATCACAACAGTCCCTTCTGGCTCTCTAATCTATGAATCTCTTAAACTTCCTACCATGGGAATTAAATTAATTTTCAGCTCATAGATTGGTTATGCTGAGATCCACTTCATTTACTTACTGATGGGATTTATTTTTCCCTGTTTTATGTTGAAGGAAATATAAAACCCTCTTATAATTCATGGTAGCTATTGCTGAATTTGTTTGTTTGCCAGTTTATTTTGGGAGGTAGATGACCATTTTGTATATGTCATTTAAAGCAAACAATATGGTTTAAAATAAATAGTTACAGTTTTTATTATGTGTTTTTAATATTATTTCAACAGTAAAGACAGCATGCAATCAACAAAAAGAGAAAGTAAGCACACTGCAGGGCTGGAAGAAAAACCTTACTTTGATTTTTCCTTCCCCAGTGTTGCATGGATGAGAAGACATTATGGATTCATACACGATTTCTATATCCCAGGAGAACTGCAAAGTGACTTTCTTCTTTCTCTGTGAGACTTTCTCATGAAACAACAATGTGAGACAAAGAACGGGTGACTCAAAATTTTTATGTACATCCCTTCCTTTGTCCTTAAAAAGAACCTTGAAAAATATTGAGTTTTTTTCTAAAAGCTTAGGGTCCGCATGAAGAATGAATCTTGTTTCTCAATGTAATATAGAAAATTGTTTTCCAACAGCATGGGTTGGACTAACAAGACTAATTCCTAAAAACCCTGTACTGCACATATGTTTGGTCCACCCCCTTTGTTGCAATATTACAAGACATGGCGATGCAAAAAAGTTGGATATATCTGGAATATAAGCAGTTGCTTATTTGTTTTTAATTCCTTACTCTGCTTCCTTCTAACACCTCTTGCTTTAAACATTTATACATCATGAGAATAATATATTCTGAGATGCCTGTGAGTTCACTCATTTAGTGATATTACCATCCTTTTATTGATAATCACTTCTTGCTCCAAATTAATCTTTGCAGGAATCTTTGCAATTCACAAGTAAGTATTTTTACTGATGAAAGAAAAAGCTTTACTGTGTTTTCGAAACCTACTTCCCTGTAAATATAAACAACAGTAAGTCTATTAGAAAGCATTTCACTGTTTTCAGAATTTCACTGTTATAATAGTTTAGTGTAAACTCCTGTGCATCTTGTTTGTCAGCTGCATACTTTTACAATATATTGAGATCTAACTGGACTGACAAAAGATAGACAGTTTTATTTAGAATCAACCATAATAATCATGGGAGAAAAATCTAGACTCTGCTATGCCTAGAAAGATCTGGCAACATTCTTAGTCCCAGCTGCTCAGAAAGGGCCCAAGTTGCCTAAACAAACCCCTCTAGGGCAGGGTGAGACACCTTATGGTGCCTTGCCTGCCCTCCAGCAGGCACAGACTTTGAGTGTTGTGTTTTCTGCCTTTGTATGAGCTCTCAGATATTCTGGTTGTTTCAGTGGAACTAAATACCTGTGTGCCAGCAGCTGAAAGAAGGATTCTGTTCCAGGCTGTGTCTAAGACTGCTCAGCCTGCCTAGTAGCTTGGTGTTCATCTCCCATTATGGAAATTGTTCGGTACAGTCAGTGGGGAAGAAGTCATTTCATGCTAAAGTGGTCACTTACAATTTCACTCACCATGTTAAAGTCTGAGAAGGCAGGAAAATAGAGAAAGATGATTTAGAGGCAGATAGAAACAAATTAAATGTTTTTTTTGGTAACAAAGTTAAAAAAAAAATGATAAATTAATTCCCATGAAAATTAAAATTGAGACCTGCTAGTATCTCTCCCTTCAGATCTTCAATTTCCTGTTTTCTTTAGCTGAGGCATGGCTACTTAAAAGAAAGCCTGGTTGAATGACAAGTTCACAGAATCTAAGAATGCTTAAGTCATGTTAAAAAAAAAAAAGTATATAAAAATTGTATTGATTTTCATCTTCCACATCATGTATATGTAACTCCCAAGTAAAGAATTGCATTGGGTACAATTCAGTGGCCTTAACACATGCATGTGGTGCTGTTTCAGGTTTTCTGTATCTCATACATTCATGTAGGACTGACAGATCTGACACAGTGGGGTTCAGTGCCTTTCTTCTGGAGTGACAGATGATCTGGTGCATTATGAAAGCAAGCCAAAAGTGATATTGTTTAACTCCAGTTAGGCAACCAAATCACACCTTTTTAGGATGGAGATAATGTGTGAAGTCAGGAGAAAAACTTTCACTGATTTCCATGAAGCAGGATTTTTTTTATCTTAACCCTGTGGTTATGATAGCTGCAACATATTAATCACAACCTCTTGTCAGAGGTCTGGAAGAGTGCCATTGGTATGGAACTTTTCCTCTGCCAAATATTAGCAACACAAGATATTTTGCTGACTTTTAAGGAAGTTGAAGAAGGACATACATGTCAGTCTGAGGAATATCTGTTACTTGTGAAAGACATAACTGAGATTTATTAAGATCCTTGTGTACTTGCAAAAGATGTGCTCTAACTCTGCTTGCATGACAAAAGCAATCAAGTTTACCTGCAGAAAAATACAGTGGCATCTGTATTTATTCGTTTGATTAGTTGTCTTAGGAAGTTTTCTATTTCAATAATTTTCATGGTGGTAAAACAGTTGCTAGTAAAATCACATCGTTATTTAAGCAGAACTATATTTTTGATCATTTAAACACTAATTAAAGTCACTACTTGAATTATTCATAAAACTTTCTTAAGAAATGGCACACTTAAGAATGACTGCCTATGAACATAATTGTTTTTGTGAATTGTTCACTTCTTTTGCATGACAGCTTGGCAAAAGGAATTCATACTATCACACCACAATTTATTTTGCTTTGATGTGATAGGAGTTTGAGCATAATTTTGCTTATATGAAGTGACATTTGATTCAGTCTGCCCTGGCATAGTCCAGCAGCACTCTAGTTAAAAGTTAATATACATGACAGCTTCAAGTGAATGGCTTGATACGAGTAAGTATTTTGTAGTACTAGAACTTATCCTGATGGAAAAGCTGGGAAATGTGGCACAATATGAACAATGCTGAAGTAGATTGTTCGCTTCCTTAAAAGGTAAAGTGAAAGAGGCATTGCATTACTGGCTGCCAATCAGCTATGGATTTCTTTTAAGGAATTACTGTGCTAATAAATTGGCAATCAGTTCTGAGAATTAATTTCAACATAGGCATTAGGAAGTCCTAAAAACCTTTTAAAGTTCCTTAGAAAACATCACTGAGGCAGCTACCAAAGAAGTATACTGCAGTGTTTAGGATGGCATCAAATGAAAGAGAAGGGTGAAAAGAGAAAACACATGAACTTTCAGTACAGAATTGTGATGCTGAGAACAAAATTAATCAAGACACCAAAGGACGATGAGAGAAGAAATTCTTTAATCTTTAATTGCCTATACACCAATGATAGGAGCTTGGGTAATAAACAAGCATAATTGGAATTGCTTATTTATGAGCATAAACACAACCTCGTTGGTATAACAGAAACCTGAGGGGATGGTTCACATGACTGGAATTTTAAAATCACCATTTATGCATCTTTTAGGAAATATCATTTAGGCAAAATAGTAAGGGGAGGAGCGCTTTTTCTTATAAAACCCCAAAAGACAGTTCTTATTTCTAACTCTTTCTGAGTTAGAAATAACTTCGGGAGGAAAAAAAAAAAAGGAAGTGTAGTAACCAGTGTTTATATTAATAAACTTGGGAAAGAGAAGCATCTACAAATACACGCTCCTCAGCAGTTATGCAAAGAGAACAAATTCACAAACTCCAGATTGTCAAATCACACTGTAAAATGGACAGCTGGTTCCTTAACTAATAAAATTTAAAAAAAATTAAAAGTCTGAAATGGTTCGCTATAGTCTAGGGTAGTTCATACAAAGTAGAAACCAGGACTACCATTGATAAAATACCTCTGCCATTTCTTGTTATTATGTTAAGTCAATTCTCAAATGTCCTCTCAAAGAAGTCTCGAAGATAAGCAAGTGGGGAGTCAGGGAAGTGTCACTGGACTGAATAAACATAGCTAAAGGCCACTGCAAAGTGAAAAACTCTTGTTATTAAGGTTATTTATCTTACCAAAAGAAAGATTAAGAATGATTCTATGATGGTTTATTTAAAAAAATAAAAATGAAGACATTAAAAGACAGTTTATCAACACATAAGGAGAGTTTATGTTCCAGTGCTCAATGCTTGTTTTGGGTGAGATATGTTTTATCTATACTATGTGTAAGTAGTTCCTGGAAGATCATAGCACAGATCCCTCTGCTACCAGCTAAGTAGTTGTGAATCTAGATTTTTGTCAATGGAAGGAAGACAGTGGCCCCAGAAATGGAGCAGCTGGGAAACTACTGTGTTGCATTTCGTGCACTTTGTCATGGTGCTATGACAGCACTGGTCATTGCTCTCTTTGATTTGTAAAATTTTTCTGTCTTTGTCAGAATTGATTGTCTTAGAAAAGCAAATCACACCAAAAGCTATTGAGTATTGGCTGTATAATGAATATAATCTCTGGATTATTTTAACTAGGGTGCAAAACAATGGGTGTGATGTAATTTGATAAGGAAGATAGTAAAGTCCTCATCCAACTGCTTGAATATTAGGTTGTTAACATTTCTATTAATCTGAATTATGTATATTATACCGAATTCACACTTTTTGTATATGAGGTAATTTTTTTATCATCTGTGGTAAATTTTAGTGTCAGAAGGGTAATGAGACAATGTGCCAAGCTGTTTGAAAATCAAATTGCTGCACCTTGTGTAAAGAGCCTGTAAACTGTTACTACTCAAAGATTTTCATGAATTCAAACCAGTTGTGTCCTTAAGCTGTCGTATTTAAATACTGGAGCCTCAATGCAAGATAGGTAAGCACATCTGGGCTATACATCTATTAACACAAAATATTTTCTTCTAAGTTATATTATGGTTGGGAAAAAAAGTTTCTGCAGTCTTTTCTTTAGGAAGAAAACTCTTGAGATATTTCTCATTATTTGCATTTTTTTTCCTTCTCCTATGAATATAAAAGGCTACTGGGTATATTAAATGACAATGGTAGTGTAGTAAAAGGGATTATAACTCCTGAGAACTACTCATATACATTAGAAATAGTATGAAATATAATAAAGAATAATTAGCAACTAGACATGAAGGTTCTGTCTGATTGATCTGATAACCTAGTCGTAGACACAAGGAAATGTGACTCAGTATCTGAATATATGTGGGAGGAAGAAAACCTTCTAAACCTAAGAAAGTTTAATTCTAAATTATTTTAAAATTTATCACAGATATATAAAATCTTAATCATACAGTATTTTTAACAAAACATTCATTCTATATCCTCAAGTATTCATTCATGTGACTCTTAAATTTGACCAGTATAAAATTCCTTTATTTACCCAAATTATTTCATTGTGTCTAATTGAGGTTCCTTCCTGGGTGTGATATCAGACTACAGATTGCAGGGAAGCTGGTGCATCACAAAATGAGTACATTATTCTGGTTTCCAAGTGACCTGTGCTACACAGACACAATAGAAATTAAATCATTTAAGTGAGGATTGTTCCTGTTACCCTTGTTATTTGAAAAATTCAGTGCATAAAAAGCATTTTCTTTGCTTACAATAAACTGCATGTTGCCTTTAGCTCACATCTTGGTTTCATTTGTAAAAATATAAACTGTTTTTTATATACAAAACACTAAAATGCACAAAATGATACCTGCAAAAGTTTGAATACTTCTCCAGAACAAATACAAATATAATGCAGCCTTTGTCACATAAAATGAATGTAGCCTATCTAATCACAGCTGTACATCAAAAGGACAAAAAAATATGGTGACTTGTTCTCCTTGGGATAGTGTCTCTAAGTTTTTGTTGTGTGCTCTACATCTGTTAT